TTTTTTGTATGAAATAAAAAACCCGATTACTATACTCATCTGTGGACATATTTATCATCGCGATTGCATCGAAAAATTCATCAAAAAACGTTCAATATGTCCAAGGCCCGATTGTGGGAAGGAGGTGGAATCTGTGATTGATAGCATGCCTGGAAGTCAGAATATTAACAATTTGATAGATATATCTCCAAACCTATTTATCGATTCCCAACTATATTCAAGTTCACCTAAAAAGCGTGTTAGTGAGTCTACCAGCAAATCATCCAGTAAGAAAGTGAAGAAGCAGGTTAGAAAGGAAGATTCGCCTATATTAAAAAAACTTATCAGTGAATTGTCTACTGATACTTCTAAAAATGCAGAAATTTTGCAATCTAAATTTTCCCTCGTGGCAAATACAATCAATTTCCTTAATTTATATCAAAAAATAATAGAATCTGAAGATATTAATAAAAAAACGTCTCAAGATGTTATTCTTTGTTATTTTCATTTGGAGGATCGCTTCAATCACTACAGAAAAAACAATCCCAAACGCACAGCTCAAGGGTTAGTTAATAATGAGGTTAGAACTCAGATCCCCGAATCAGTTAGTGAAAGCTTACTTCGAAAGACAAAGGAAAGGGCCCAGAAGATTTACTGTATGATATCTTTAATGAGATCGGGGTTGATAAAATCAAACGAATTCGGTCTTTTACAGCTACAACAATAGCAAATATATCCCAAGATGACATTGATTTTGTATTAGCCAAACTTTCAGTAATTTATGCTGATTTTAAAAAATAGAGACAGCCTCATTACTCTATAATAATAATCTATTGTAAGGTCACGTGACGTTGTGACAAGCTGTCACAATCTATGAAATAAATTTTAATAGTGTTAGTATAAATGCACCTAATTTTTTATTTCGTGTTTCGTTAATAATTGAGTGTGAATTCGTGATTTATGCATGTAACAGAGAGCCCCAAGGGAGCAATCCCATGTGATCGGGAGAAAATGATTTAACTGATTTTTGTTATGTATATATCAGCTTTACTAATTATTTATCGCAATAGCGAATTTCCATATTTCACGAATTCGTGCATATGATACATTATATTTTATAGCTAGATTCGGTAATGCATTTGTTGTACCCTTAGCAGTAATTATATCACTAATTGCTTCGGATGATAAGTGTGTAGCACCTGATCTTAATCTTCAAACCATTTTATATACACAGAAAAAATATATATGGTACACTAAACGTAATGCGATATAAATCATGCAAAACATCCTATATATGAACTTTTGTAGGTTTTTTTCCCGCTATTTAAATCGTAGTAATAACCTGCATCTTCATCATTAGAAAAACCGCAATATCCTCCATAATTATCACTTAGCTCTAGTAAAGTTTTTTTTTTGTCGATCGTCACGAATTCGTGACGGAAAAAATTACACGAAAAAATGACACCATGTGCCTGCTCCGCCGATTTATGCATATATATTGAATCGGCCCACATAAAATACATTTCGATATGCGAGTTAGTTTTATGCTTTCATTGTTATCTCGATTCCAATTTCATTTGGATTGAATTGATTATATATAAGTTTTTTCCCATTCTTCCATAAGATCATCAAGCCATGTAGTACTTAAATCGCTTTTTAGTATATCGCGACATAATAATTCTTCACCGACTAGCCTTTTCCAATCTGTTAAAAATTTATGATATTTTCTAGGATCTTCATTCCTTTTTATTCCTCCACAGTGTCACGATCGTATATTTCGGACTCTTCTTGGTGTTGTATTATCAATCGTGACTTCAATCAATCATCTGTTTGTGTTTAATTATTAATTTCGTTTGTTTACTATTAAGATCCAGTTACCTTAGGATCACGGCGCTGTGCGGCTTCTTCTATCATCAAGATAGGATATCACTACTACTAATAAATATCTTCCTTTGT